TTTTTTATAACTCAAATATAGTAACCCATTTGAAAATTCTTCCTGAGAACTTAAACGCTTAAGGAGAACCCTTGGGAAATAAACCATCATCAGATAAAGATCGTATACATTTTTGTTAGTGTTCAGCGTGAGTAAAACATGTTCTCAAAAATGAGTATTCAAGTGAATCCATTCTAAAAACTGTTATTCTTTTCAAGAAAAACATAAGAGATATTTTGTTCTTGTTTAGATTGACAGCAGAGAACAAATTTTAAAATATTTGGCACTGAAATATTTTATTGCTGTGGCTGGGATTTCCAGTACTATCTTATATAATAATAAAGGAACGTGCAAATTGACCATCACGCTGTCACAAATATGGTGGAGCCCATATCCAATAATTGACTGTCGCGCCCTCAAAGATGGCGGCGTCCAGTCCCCTTAGCTCCCCTGGGCTGCAGGAACACAGCACGCTGGGCCTACCCCCAGTGGGCCCAGCTGCTCCGTGCACCTGCCTCCGGGGTCCCGCTTCCCCTCAGCCACCCAGGGCCAGCCCAAGGTGCAGGCAAGCCTTGGATGATTGCTGCCCAGGGCCAGAGAGGCTTGCGCTTCCGGCAGGGGCCTCCCTCCCCTGAGGGCTCCTGGACTGTGAGAGGGGGCAGGCCAGGCTGAGGGATCCCCTTATCCCCCCTTCCCATCCCCTCCCCACCAGTGCATGAATTTTCATATGCATTGGACCTCTAGTGTTGAATAAGAATGGTGAAAGTGTACATCCCTGACTTCCTGCTTTTAAAGAGAAACACTTTTAATTTTTCCCATTGAATTTGATGTTAACTAGGGTTTATCATATATGGTTTTTATTATGTTGAGGTATGTCCCTTCTATTCCCACTTTGCTGAGAGTTTTGTTTTTTTTTTATCATAAACTAAAGGCCCAGTGCACAAAATTGGTGCACTGGTAGGGTCCCTAGCAGCTGCTTTCTGGGGCCTCCCTCACTTCCCTGGCCTGCCCTGTCCCTTGGATGAACTCCCAGTCAAGGGGACAATTTGCAAGCTATGCTTTTATTATGTAGGACTAGAGGCCTGGTGCATAAAACTTGTGCACTGGGACCCCTTCAGCCTGGCCTGCACCCCCTCACAGCCTGGGACCCTTCACTCCTTACTGCCTGCCTGCTCTCTGCTCCTTACTACTTGGCTCGCTGCTCCTTAGTGCTGCCAGGGAGGCAGGAGAAGCTCCCATCACCACTGCTGCACTTGCCAGCTGTGAGCCCGGCTTCTGCTGAGGGGTGATCCCCCTGTGGGAGCACACTGACCACCAGGGGGCAGCTCCTGCAGTGAGCGTCTGCTCCCTGATGGTCAGTGCACATCATAGCAACCAGTCATTCTGGTCATTCCACCATAATGGTCGATTAGGCTTTTATTATATAGATGGGTGCTGGACTTTGTTAATTGCTCTTTCTGCATCTATTGATATGGTCATATGATTTTTATCTTTCATTTTGTTTATGCATTGTATCATGTTAGAAAATGTGTTTTTTAGCTGAAACTAGTTTGGCTCAGTGGATAGAGCTTTGGTCTGCAGACTCAAGGGTCCCGGGTTTGATTCCAGTCAAGGGCATGTACCTTGGTTTCGGGCACATCCCCAGTGTGGGGTGTGCAGGAGGCAAATGATTGATGTTTCCCGCTTGTTGATGTTTCTAACTCAGTGTTTTTCAACCTTTTTTGGGCAAAGGCACACTTGTTTCATGAAAAAAATCACGAGGCACACCACCATTAGAAAATGTTAAAAAATTTAACTCTGTGCCTATATTGACTATATATAAAGTAATTATCTTGAATAGGAATCAAATAAACACAAAGAAAGTATTTTATAATTACTTTATTATGAAATATTAAGTAAACAAAATAGTGAAAAATTATAAAATTCTTGTCTTGTCTGCACCTATGGCACACCAGGCAACATCTCGCGGCACACTAGTGTGCCACGGAACAGCGGTTGAAAAACGCTGTTCTAACTCTCTATTCCTCTCCCTTCCTCTCTGCAAAAAGTCAATAAAATATATTTTTTAAATGTGTTTTAAAAAAATATGTTAACATGTAATGGGGCTTATTTTCTAATAAAAATTTGTTTTTACAATTTTACATTTTAATTCTTAGTAGACATGGGTGACATAATCAAAAGCTGTTTAGATTCTCAGTAAGTTTTAAGAGTCTAAAGGGGCCCTGAGGTAAAGAGTTTGAAATCTTGCCATCTAGTGCTGAAGCTCCTCAAACCACATAGGTACTTTAAAGTTTCTCCATTTCACCATTTTTCTTGTCATTTACTGATTACCTTCCTATATTGCAGGATGTGTTGTGGGCATTTCAGAATCATTCATACTATTCAATTATTTTTAAAAAATGTATATTTTTATTGATTTCAGAGAGGAAAGAAGAGAGAGATACAGAAACATCAGTGGTGAGAGAGAATCATTGATCATCTGCCTCCTGCACGCCTCCCAGTGGGGATTGAGCCCACAACCCGGGCATGTGTCCTTGACCAGAATCAAACCTGGGACCTTTCAGTTCTCATGCTGACGCTCTATCCACTGAGCAAAACCAGTTAGGGCCTATTCAATGATTTATTCCATTCATAGGGGCAGCATGCTTTCTCATTCTTTACTAATATATTTAGCTCTGCATTTTATCTTAACCTTAATTACATACCTCTCTGTTTAACACTTGCAGCATTCTTATAATTTTTGTGCTTATTGATTATGCTGGATTTAATAATATTTATAACCACCTCATAACTAAGCACAGAGAGCAGACTCTAGTGAAGATTAGAGAGCAAAGACTAAATGATCTTGGAAGAGCATTGTCAGTCATCTCTTGGAAGTGGACATAATCAGTCTCTTGTCTGCCGGAGGACTTTGATTTGTCAGTAAACAATCATATGTAGGGATGTATCAAATCTTTCTAAATTTGGCTGGGAAGGGAGAGTAGCGAAGGGAAGATTTCCAGGTTTTGAAAGGAGGTGGGAGGTGGGGAATCAAAAATGAGCACCAGATTTTAAGCTCTGGGTGGCTGGGTAGTTGAAAACCATTAAGAGAATTAGAAATTTTGCAGTGGAGTATCAGTTGAGAAAAGGAATTTGAGTTGATTTTCAGATGGTTAATTTGAAAGTTTGCAAACATTCAGATGGAATTGTCTAGCACTCCAGCTAGTCACTAGAGGCCCAGAATTAAAAGTTCAGGAAAGATGATGGGGTTAGAGATTCTAGATGAATACAGCCAGAGGTGACGATAGAGTCCGAGATCTGTCTATAAGCATATTTCATCTATTCCTCATTACTGTATCATGTTCTTATGTGTTATTATATGCTAGACACTGGGCACGTTCCATATACAGACTCTTCCTGGCTTATAAGGCTGACTTAATTTTTTTTTTTTTTTTATGGTGGTGTGACCGAAATACGTATTCAGTAGAAACCGTACTTTGAATTTTGATCATGCTAGTGATATGCAGTATATACTCATGATTTGCTTTTCCTAGGTGGTTAAAGTTCTGGCCCAACAGTAATTTTTTTCCAATATCATTTTGTAAAATTTTCCTGACTTTCTGTCAGTTTGACAATTTAGAAATGTGTTTACTGTAGCGAGTCATAACTTTTCCCACCCAAATCTATTTTTATTTGAATAAAAGCAGCTTGTCATTTCCAGAATAGTTGATTATTAGTTTGAATAGACATTCTAGAAATAATAAGATAACTTTTATTGTGATAAGAGCAATTGTTTCTATATGGAAACAGAATTGTATTTGCACTATTATCAAATAAATCAGTGGGAAGAATGCTTGTCGTAATTTAGTGGGAGTACTGGCTCCAGATCCTATTTTTAACTAATTTTTGAACAAAGCAGTGGGTTCCAAGAATCAAATAACCTGGGCTTTCCTCCCATCTTCCATGAAGTTAATGACTTGGTTAACTTTTCTTGGCTCTTTATAGCACAGTATCTAATACCTGATAAATGTTGCACTAAACTTCTCTTAAACTACAAAATTCAAGTCCTTTCATTCTATTTCTGAGGGGTGTTTCCAGTTGCAGAAGAAATTGCCTCTTTATAGTCTTTTCTTCTATCCTTTATCTCTTTAACCTCTAAGAGTGTGTTGAAGCTGTGAATAGTAATGTCTATTGTATAAGAGAATAAACAATCGCAGAGGCTTACCTCACAGTCTGACACACAGTTCCTCTGGAGCTACTAAATACAGTATTGACTATCCACACAATGTTTTCCCACACTCAGTTGTCTATATCTTCACAGACTGGTAATTCCCAGAGTTCTGTAGGAGGAAGTCCTGGTCTTGAGCAGCTTTAGTCGGGGTCTTCAAAGGGGCATGCATATCTTTCCAAGGGTTTTGTGATTGGTATCTTTCATCAGTTGTGAGTTAAAGCTAGAGCTTGAAAAGTGGGGCTTCCATAGCTTAACTGCCACAACTTATTGTAAGCAACCATGACTACTGTACAGACTACTAATAGTTGTGGCAATTATGAATCATTGAAGTATTTGTCATAGTTACTTCAGTTTCATTTTTATTCATGGATACATTTATAATGAGAAGGATGGGTAACCAAAGTGTGAATTGTACATCTCTGAGACACATACCCATAAGATTAGTTAGTGCTTATGTTTTCTTCTGTGTTTTATTGTCAGGTCCTACATTCAAATCTTTAATTCATTTTGAGTTAATTTTTGTGTATAGTGTAAGGTCATACTGTAGTTTGTTTCTTTTGCATATGGCTGTCCAGTGTTTCTAACGTCATTTATTGAAGAGATTTTTCCTTTATTGCCTGTCCTTGGCTGCTTTGTTGAAAATTCGTCGCCCATATTTATGTGGAGGAATGTTGAATGTATTTCTGACCATGAACTTTCTCACTGCCATCTTTTAGTTTTTTGATTTAGCATAGTGGCTACATGGAAACTATATAAATTACCTATTATGACTACTAAACTATCAATTAATGCTTATTTTATGTATTTTTAGGTCATTTCTGATTCATTTGCATCTTTGAAGAGCATCTGTAAGAGAGGAAGGAAAAGATGGGTGTGAAAACATTTACTCATAGCTCTTCTTCCCACAGTCAGGAAATGCTTGGAAAGCTAAACATGCTGCGAAATGATGGACATTTCTGTGACATCACTATTCGTGTCCAGGACAAAATCTTCCGGGCACATAAGGTGGTACTAGCAGCTTGCAGTGATTTTTTTCGCACTAAACTTGTAGGCCAAGCAGAGGACGAGGACAAGAATGTGTTGGATTTACATCATGTTACAGTGACTGGTTTTATCCCCCTTCTAGAATATGCTTACACAGCCACTCTGTCAATTAACACAGAAAATATCATTGATGTGCTGGCTGCAGCCAGCTACATGCAAATGTTTAGTGTTGCTAGCACCTGCTCAGAGTTCATGAAATCAAGCATTTTATGGAATACACCCAACAGCCAGCCGGAAAAGAGTCTCGATGCTGGACAAGAAAATAACTCTAACTGCAATTTCACTTCTCGAGATGGAAGCCTTTCACCAGTGTCGTCAGAGTGCAGCGTGGTAGAAAGAACCATTCCTGTCTGCCGAGAATCCCGGAGAAAGCGCAAAAGCTACATCGTCATGTCTCCCGAGAGTCCCGTGAAGTGCAGCACGCAGACAAGCTCCCCCCAGATACTGGGTTCTTCGGCTTCCTACTCAGAAAGTAGAAGCCAACCAGTTGACTCTTCTCTAGCTTTTCCCTGGACTTTTCCTTTTGGGATTGATCGAAGGATTCAGCCTGACAAGGTTAAGCAGGCAGAAAACACCCGGACTCTAGAACTACCCGGCCCACCTGAGACCGACAGAAGAGTGGCTGACTTTGTGACTTGTGAGAGCACAAAAACAACCCTGCCTCTGGGGACCGAAGAAGATGTCCGGGTGAAAGTGGAAAGATTAAGTGATGAGGAGGTGCATGAGGAAGTACCCCAGCCTGTCAGTGCATCTCAGAGTTCACTGAGCGACCAGCAGACAGTGCCAGGAAGTGAACAAGTCCAAGAGGACCTTCTGATTAGTCCACAGTCTTCCTCAATAGGTACAGTGTTTTCTGTTTGTCATGATGCTATAATCAAATAAGTTCAAGCATCTTTAGCACTTACTAGATTAAAGTTTTTTTTTGCTGGGTCGTATAGGAAATACTGGGAAGAATAAAGCATAACTGAATTTTTTTTTAGAGGTTGCTACTACTACTATCATTATAAGTTATGCATTGGGAAAGAAAAATAGTTGAACAATATCTGATGGGACAAAGATACATACAGGTATATATGAAAGAATTGTGAATTACTTCCAATGCAAACAAAAAAAAAGTTTTAAAAAAAGTCCAGTTAGTGTTTTATTATTTATTAAAATATTTATTGAAAACATGTACCAAGCATTGGGGATACATGATTTAACAAAAGGATTTAATAGTCTAATTGAAGAATCAGATGTGTAAATCAATGGTTAGTGCTAGGCTAGAGGTATGAATCAAGTGTTATGATTCACAAAGAAAAAAAAAGTTAATGCTGTGTATTTACCTTAATGTTAAGTGGGGGTTTGCCCAGGTGAGGGAATGACATTTCTTTGGAAATGTATAAAAGCATAGTGATGTGGAAGAATCCTAATATATAAAAACCCAGCGTCTGTAATGACGTACCAAATACTGGAAGTCAGTCCTGCAGTCAGTTGCCATGGCAACCCAGAGCTGAACTGCCAAGGAGGCTGTGATCAGGCCCAGAGAGAGGCCCGAAGAGAGAGGCAGGGTCTGATCCGAGGTCTCCGTGGCAGCTGTTGATCAGCTGTTGCCTCTCTTTCTCTCGGGCTTTACCAGCAGCTGTGCCTCTGTTTCTCTCTGGGCCCCCACGGGGGCTGCTGATCAGCCCTGCCTCTCTAATCAAGCCCAGAGACGCTGACTGGCATAGAAACCGACCAATAAATTCCCCTTATTACCATTGCCCAAAATCTAACACCCCCAATTTAGGGCAATAGAAGCGCTAAATATAGCAAACAGGAAAAAACAAAACAAACACAAAGCACTAAGTTTGGGTTGGGTTTTGCTACTCAAAAAAGTAATTATGAATGTTTGGTAGAATTCAACAAAAAAATTTATAAGTGAGGAGGACTTTGTGATACTATTTCATTATTGATCTTGAAATACTCAGTTATCTGTAGCACCAATGATAGACATATAAGTAGTTCTAGATAATCCACAGTTTATTATCTTAACAAAGAAATTCACTTTTTTTTTTTTTTAAATATATTTTATTGATTTTCCACAGAGAAGAAGGGAGAGGGATAGAGAGCTAGAAATGTCGATGAGAGAGAAACATCGACCAGCTGCCTCCTGCACACCCCCCACTGGGGGTGTGCCCACAACCAATGCACATGCCCCCGACCGGAATCGAACCTGGGACCTCTCAGTCTGCAGACCGATGCTCTATCCACTGAGCCAAACCGGCTTCGGCAAGAAATTCACTTTTAAGTTACAGATTCTAGAGAGGATTTATCTTATTGCCATCAAGGCTTTTGAGAGTATATGGAGGATGTTTTTATAAGTGCTTTGATAATTGTAGTTTTAAAATTTTGTTTTTATTTTTATTTTTTTCTTGAAGTTGGTGGATAAGGACGATATAGAATCTGAGTAAAAGATAAAGCTTATGGAGTTTTGTTTTTAGCAATATCAGTGTAACTTGGGGTTGTGCTACTGGAGAAATAGGTTGGGATTTCCCTAGTCAAGAATACAGAATCTAGTAACTTTTTCCTGTCATTACAACATAGGTCTTTAGCATAAGAAAGCCTCAGTACATCCTAGAAATAAATAAATAAGCAGACTCAAGGCTTTTTGGAGGTAAAGACGCCCCCTAATGCTTGATTCCTGTCCTTGGTTCCTCCTTTCATTGACAGGGAAGCCATACATTGGAAACATCCACAGCGTCAACCTCTTAAAATCCTCACCTCGGTGTTGGGCCAGTGTTGATGCATCTCAGATGAATTCTCTTGTTTCTGTTAGAACTGCCCCCTTTCCCCAATGGCCTCTTGAAAATTGTCCTTAAGGAAATGGAGTAAGTTGAAAGATAGTATAACACTTAATCTTACAGTGAGAAAATATGAAAGAAGCAGATGTTGGCCTGCAAGAGCTGCAGTTTTAGATTGAGATGATTCAGGAGAACTGCAACGGTCCATAAGATTAATGCTTGTGCCCTACGTGCCTGGGTTGCTGGCTTGAACTCTAGTAGGGGGAGTGCAGTAGGCAGCTGATTAATGATTCTCATCATTGATGTTTCTGTCCCTCTCTCCCTTTCCCTCCCTCTCTGAAATAATATTTAAATATGTTTTATACCAAAAACATATTTAAAGAAAAATAATGCTTGTGCCTGGCCAGTGTTGCTCAGTGGTAGAGTATTGTCCCATACACCAAAGGGTATTGGGTTTGATTCCTGAGTTGCAGTTCTTTCCCTGGCCCCAGGGCAAGTGTGTAGGAGACAACCAATCCACGTGTAACATCATTGTTTCTCCCTCTCCCTCTCTCTCCCCCCCCCCCTCCTTTTTACGCTCCCTCTCCTTCCTATCATCCCTTCTACTCTCTAAAAATCAAAGGAAAGAGTATCGACAACAACAACAAAAAGAATAATGCTTGTGTAAATTTCTGTTTCCAGGGCTTGGCTAAAGGCCAGTTGTCATTGATCAGGAACCAGACAAAACCTCCTGCCTGCTTCTGGGCATATGACACCAGGGAACAATGACAAATCTGATTAGATAGCCAAAATATTCCCAAAAGACTTTTTCTTTTCTTTTAAAAAAAATATATTTTATTTATTTATTTATTTATTTATTTATTTATTTTTTTACATAGAGGAAGGGAGAGAGATAGAGAGCCAGAAACATGGACCAGCTGCCTCCTGCACACCCCCCACTGGGGATGTACCCACAACCAAGGTACATGCCCTTGACGGAATCGAACTTGGGTCCCTTCAGTTCGCAGGCTGACACTCTATCCACCGAGCCAAACCGGTTTCGGTCCAAAAGACTTTTTCTAGGAAAATAAAATATATCCAATACTTCAATGAAATATTTGAGCTCAGTTAGGCCTGAACTTACCTCCCAGCCATCACCGCACTATTGTCTGACTATGGATTATGTGTTTATGTTATTTGGCTAATCCTCTCACTTTCTTTCATCCAGAGAGCACCCCCAATCCCCTTCAGCCCTCCCCTGTGAGGGATTTTAGATGTGCACTCTTTTATTGAGGTTCTCAGTGCAAGGCAACAAGAGTTTCAGCTGTCTTCCTGAGTCCTCCATTTCGGCTAGTGCTCTGTTGCAGAGTGCCCCAGGAGCGCACCTGTAATGAAACAAGTTGGGTTCATTACTTGAGCTCACACACCATGGGGCCTTGGGGCTTCAGTCAGCAGACATTAGAAAGGACTTACTGGATTTGGGCTTGAGTTAGATGTTTTAGGGAAGATTAAGAAAGTGGGTTTTCTCAGGACTGGTGATGCCAGAGTATCTTAACAAATGTCTAGGACTATAGACCAAAGTGAACCTAAAACAGCAGTAGCTTATGTTTGGTGTTTTTGTGATTACACATTGACATTGTTTTTGTGTGTGCTTAAACAGAATTATGTATTGTTTCAGACCATGTGACCTAGTCTAGGCAGGTCTTCTGTGAGATTGTTTTATGTCCAACAGGAAAACACCAGGCACCTACCTGGCACCACCAGGCCCAGTGTCCATGTCCGGCCAGTTCCTAAATATTAGGGGCTGCTTTTTCTCTTCCTCGAGTATGAAATGAGATATTGTATTTATGCATTTAGAACAGTGTCCGGCACTTGGTAAATACTCAGTAGTGGATGGCCACTGTGATTAATTTTCACCACCAGAAAAGAGTTTTTGTAAGGAGTCAGTTTGATGTAGCAGAAGCTATATGAACAGCACTCCCTATTGGTGGAAAGAGTAGCATCTTTCTTGTTGAGATATCCCTTATCATATAAAGCTGATTGTTTCTATAATTCAGCTTTACTGTTTCATTATCCCTGAGTGATGAGATCAGAAAAGGCCTTAATTTCTTATATTACATACTTTTCAATATTAAATTTTTTACAAGTACTGGTTTGATCCCCAGTAGCAAGCATGCAGGAGACAACTGATGTTTCTCTCTCTTACCTCCCTTCCTCTCTTTCAAATCAATAAAATACTTAAAAAGTAAAATTGTTCCTTAAATGATTGTTATAACATTTTGCGTGAATTTTTGTTTAGTTTGCATTTGAATTGCTCTCTTTCTAACATTTATATCAAAGAAATAGTCCTAAAAGGTTTTAAGTAATATAAGGTATTGCCTTACATGTGATTTCTTTTTAAATCACATCAACAGTTAAAGTATTATAGGACACTTTTTAATAATTCAGGATATGCATGTACTTTAGTTCAGCGGTCACCAACCTTTCGGACCTCAAGGGACCACAGGTTGGCGACCGCTGCATTAGTCTGTTTTTAAAGGCTTAAAGTTACAGCTTGCAATTAGTGTCTTGGCTTATTGACACTGCAGTGTTCACACCTGTCTTTTATTTTCAGGCTCAGTAGATGAAGGTGTCAGCGAAGGGTTACCTACGCTTCAAAGCACTTCCAGCACCAATGCTCACGCAGATGATGATGATCGGTTAGTACTGACATAGGTTATTTTAAGGACTGTGCTTGCAATTCTTAAGTCGTTTATCTGGGATTATATAATAAGTTTATTGGGACCTCATTTTAGTATATTTTTCAGAGTAATAAGGTAGCTTTATCACATCAGAAATGAAAGCACCTGTACAGCAGTTTTGTTTTGTTTTGTTTAGCATTTTTGTATCTATAGCAGGGGATGGCAAACTGTGGACCAGAGGCTAGTTGCAGCCCACCAGCCTTTACAAATCAGGTTATATTGGAACATAGCCACACTTTGTTTATACATTGTCTGTGGACGGCAGAGTTGAGTGATTGGAACAGATCATATGGTGTGCAGAGCCAGAAATATTTACTGTCTCACCCGCTACAGAAAATATTGGTCAAACCCTCATCTACAAACATACCCATTATCCTAAGGTGACCGCTTTTGGCGGGACAGTCCCAATTTTTAACAATTTGTCCCGAGTCCTTAGGCATTTTATATAAAAAAATCCCAATTTTTGGAAAGAATATTTTAAATCTTAAGATTTCATCCTTAAACAAGCCCTCACAACTCTGCCTCCAAAAACATCCCTTACGGGTCCACTTTTCCTCCATCTCTGCTACAGCCACTTGAGCCCAAGTCACCACCATCTTCTGCCTCAACTACCGTATTTTTCGGACCATAAGACGCTCCGGACCATAAGACGCACCAGTTTTTAGAGAAGGGAAATGAAGAAAAAAAAATTCTGAAACAAATAGTGTCCTAAAATATTTTATGTGCATTAAAACCCAACATCACAGTCATAAACACATGTAATCAACCCTGTAAAGTAAACAGCAGCATTTAGAACCATTTTAGAGCTGGGCAAGCACACAGAGACCACACAGCCGGGCAAGTAAAAAAACTTTTTTTTTTAAAGTATATGTGTAGGCTATATTTGGACCATAAGACGCAGGGACTTTTTCCCCCCACTTCTGGGGGGGAAAAAGTGCATCTTATGGTCCGAAAAATACGGTACTCTGATTTCATTCTGCCCATACTCCAGTCATTCTCCATGTAGCTGCTGGAATGACCTTGTTTCCTATAGATTCACATTTAGAATCTAAATTCCTTGCTAATGCTTTTAAAGCCCCATATGATACAACTTCTGCCCAACCTCCTTTAGACCGTTCTCCTTGCATACTACCTTCTAGCCACATAGATCTCCTTTCAGTTCACGGGACATCCTATATTTGTTTCTGCTTTGGGGACTTGTCAGTTCTCAAGGGAGCGTTTTCTAGCCACCAGTGTAAAATAAAATAAAGCTGCACTTATCACTATTGGTTCACCCTATTTTAATTCTCCATTCTGATCATTTTCTGGAGTATTGTCTGTCTTTGACCACTGAATTAATTCCTCATAGAAAGCCCAGGGCAGACTTAAATACTGTATGTGTTGAAAACTTGAAGCATTCAAAGACTGCAAACAAGGTTTATTGTTCTTGAATAGCTAAACCTGGCATAGCAGGTTAGGTACCAGTCATTTGAATAAATAATGAAGGTGTAAACAAATGTAAATGTGCCTAGGCTCCTTAATTTCACACATTAATGAGGTGGTCTGTTCTATTCTTAGATACTGTGGTAAGTGGTAGAGATACTAGAGATGAAATGTATAGTCCTTGGCCTCAAAAGAATCAAACCAATTTGTGGGAAAGAAGAGAGGTTGAAAATAGGCAAAGTAAACATAATCTCAAATGATCTGCAGAGGGTTCTGTTGCTCTGTATAGTAAGGTAGCTAACCTAAGCCACTGATAAATCAAAGAAGGCTTCGGGGGGAGGAGGAGGCAACTTGACCACATTCCATAAAATGACTAGGCATTATCTAGGCCACATGTGTCAAACACAAGGCCCTCGGGCCAAATCCATCCCGCCAGGCCTTGCAATGTGGCCTGTCATCAATGTGCGCTGTCATCACTGCACTCCGCTGCGTTTCCATCACAATGACAGTTTATGACTGTTCAGTAAACCATTCGGCCCGAGATTTAGGCTGGATTTTAGATTTTGGCCCCTTCTCTGATTGAGTTCGACACCCCTAATCTAGGCAATGACAGTAGACTAATAGAGGAAGTTCAGGGTTTAAAAGCACAGCACTGAGAGAACTCTTAGGAGGAACAGCTTAGTATAGGGTGTGTTTGGGACTGTGACAAGACGTGAGGCTGGAAAAGTACACAGAACTCAGGTCATAAAGTGCTTTGCAAAGGGGTTTAGACTTTATTCTAAAAATAACTGAACTTTTGCAGAAGTTTAAATGGTGGCTGACCGAATCCGAGAAATTGTGAAACAGAAGGATAGATTAGAGGCCTGTGGGCTAAAGAGAGGGAGTTACTAATTCAGCCTTGCATTGATGAGGGCCTAAATTAAAGCAGGAGTAGGAAGGAAAGAATTAGAAAGATTAAAGATCCTTGAGGTAAAGTGTTTTTGGTGTGTTTTATGGCTGTACATCCTTGCTTAAGATACCCTTCTGGACAACTTTTTCATAGTGCCACAAATGAAACTTGTCATCTAACAGTGAAACTGTTTCCAAAAATCTTTAAGTGCCTTTTCTTTTGTTCACTTAAATGTTGTGCAGAAATGTTTATTCAACTTAAAAATCAGAGCCTGGTTGCCTTCTTTGGTCTGTTTTCTAGATTGGAAAACGTTCAGTATCCCTACCAACTCTACATTGCCCCTTCCACCAGCAGCACAGAGCGGCCCAGCCCAAATGGTCCGGACAGGCCTTTTCAGTGTCCGACTTGTGGAGTGCGATTCACCCGAATTCAGAACCTAAAACAGCACATGCTCATCCACTCAGGTAACGTCGCTTTCCCTACCATGACATGAATGAGTACTCAAGCATTTTACTTTGGAATCCCAGTTAAAAATAGCAAACAGGTGGTTTTTAGTTAAAAAATGTACAGGTATCTCTGGGAGGCCAAATGAGAACAGATAAGCGCAGGTCTATTGTTGAAATAGCGCAATGTCAGAAGCTATTAGTATGTTTTCCACAGGCATAGCATTAGGTTAAAGCTTAGTGCTGTGTGTGTGTGTGTGTGTGTGTAATGTAAGTAAAAGATGCTGAGTGTGTTGGTATGTGTATATATGTGAGGTATAGAAGCACAAATACGGATTGTAAAGCAAATGGCATTAAAAGAGTGTTAAGTGTTCTATATACTGTTTTCTCTATAAGCTTAAAATTCTAAATAAAATGATTTAATATTTAATAATTGAATTTTGATTCTTCAATCCTGAATTTCTCTGTGCCTTGTCTAGTTAGCTTTCTAGTCCTTTTTTAATGTGAAAAAGATTTTGGATAAATGATGTATAAAACAGATTTGAAACAAGTTCAGTGATCACAGAAAGGCAGAAGAATTCTTAGAGGAGAAACACCGACCACTGATAAGTCAGAAATCTGTCGTGTCCAGCTGTGCCATCTCATGCTCCTCCTCTTTAGAAGCATCTAACAGTCTTGTGACTGATACATCAACAGATTATATTCTAAAGATTTTTAAAATTTTTTTGCCAAAACTGTTGATAATGACCTATCATTATTACATTAAATACCTAAAACCTAAGTGGTAGTTCTCTCATGATTGTTGATTACGCTCAGAAAAGTTAAATTTTTCTTCTCATTTCTCTCAGTAGATACTAATCTTTTTCACATCATTTCTCTCAGTAGATACTAATCTTTTTCACATCTTTTCAATATAAAGCTCACTAATGAAATGAAACAAATGTTATAAGGAATTTGATTCATGTTTAAATACTGTAAGTTGTGTTTTGACGCTTGTAAAATAGATGATTTTGAAGGGTGTTCAGATACCAATTTGAGTATATATTACCTAGTTTACTCCCCGCTCTTGCCCTTGTTTTTTTGTTTGTTTGTTTTTTAAGTAGCAACTTCCGATATTCTGTAGCATTCCTAAGATAACTGCAGTTCACTTTTGCTGGTGATTTTTTGTATTTTCAAATCATCTATTGCTACAGAATGATAACTCAGAGATGTGTGAGGTTGATAAATTCAGTTAATTTGTTTTCAGATAATATTTTATTTTATTTTATTTTATAGGAATTAAACCATTTCAGTGTGACCGCTGTGGAAAAAAGTTCACCAGGGCTTACTCGCTAAAGATGCATCGCCTAAAGCATGAAGGTAAACGCTGTTTCCGGTGCCAGATATGTGGTGCCACTTTCACTTCCTTCGGGGAATATAAGCACCACATGAGGGTTTCCCGGCACATTATCCGCAAGCCTCGGATTTACGAGTGCAAAACATGCGGCGCCATGTTCACCAACTCTGGAAATTTAATCGTGCACCTGAGGAGTCTGAACCATGAAGCGTCAGAGCTAGCAAACTACTTCCAGAGCAGGTGAGGTGCACAGCGAGAACCCCCAGGAAACTGCTTTCTGACCTCTCTTCCTGCTTCTAGGGCAGCCTGCTCTGTCTTTACCAGGCTGCCAGGTAGCCAGGCACATTCCTTTTAAAATCCAATCCATATTCCAATCTGAGAGAGAAAATTTTGCAAAATCTAAGTATAAACAATTAAAAATACTATTTTTGAAATTAGGAATCTTTTTCTATAGGAATAGGCTACTGATCTTCTTGGGGTTTGTTTATTTTTTAAGGTTTTAAATAATGTTTTTATTGATTTCAAAAAGGGAGGGAGAGGGAGGGAGAGAAACATCAATGATGAGCCAGTCATTGATTGGCTGTCTTCTGTGTGCCTCCTACTGGGAATTGAGGCCACAACCTGATGCCAGGACCTAGAATCAAACTGTGATCTCCTGGTTCATAGGTCAGTGCTGAACCATTGAGCAACACTGGTCAGGCTTCTCTTGGGTTTTTGTTTTTGGTGTTTTTTTGTTGTGTTTTGTCATATATATAGTATGAAGTTAAAGTAATTCTATAATGGATCTTAAATGGACCTTATTGGAAACTTGCCATGTTAGATGATGATTAGTGATATTGGATTACTTCAGACTCTTTGGATGTTAATAAAATTCTTGAGCATTTCTCTTTTTTAGTTCTATATAAAGGAATATATAATAAGAGAAATTGCAGTAGCAGTTATAGCAGATATGATTATTTAGATCAAGTGGTTTTCCTTTTTTCCTTTTAGCTTAAAACTTCATGCTTTTACTATTACTAGTTTGTGATGGAATTGCCTTTCTGATTTATAGGGTATCTGAGGAAGTCAGGTTCTAGCTTTGCTGTAAACTGCTGTTGTGATGAAGTATGTCACTTTCCCAATGAAGGGGCTTGCAAGTTAGAAAAGGATAAAATGTGGGCTGGAAAGGTGATTTCTAAGGTTCCCTCTAGATACAAAATTCTGTTGTCCATTTTTTTTTAAATACATGTTTATTTTTTTACAGAGAGGACGGGAGAGTTAGGAACATCAGCTGCCTCCTGCACACCCCCTACTGGGGATGTACCCGCAACCAAAGGTACAATACATGGCCCTTGATTGGAATCGAACCTGGGAGCCTTCAGTCTGAAGGCCCATGCTATATCCACTGAGCCAAACCAGTTAGGGCTGTTGTCCATTTTTAATACATCTATAGGCATTCTTTGTTTCTTATAAAATGAATCTTAAGTTTTAAACCATTTATTTTTAAAAATTATTTCTAAATAAATTCCAAATATTCTTACAGTTTGTTTATCGACTGAGCCAAACCCGTTTTGGCCTGAAGAGTTTTTAGAAAGTGTCACATGACATCTGAAAGTGCTGTACCTATGAGCATATTTTAATTTTTTTATTAATACTGGACAATTCAATTATAGAATAAGTGTATGGGTTGACATTTTAGTATGAAGCAAGCAATCAAGATTTAAAACATCTAAGATAAAACAGAAACATCTAAGATAAAAGAAATATAAGTCTTAACTACAAAAATACTTGTAAAAATTTAATATTTAAAAGTATGGAATATAAGAAATTAAGGCCTTTTCTGATCTCATCACTCAGGGATATCTACTGTAGTTAAAATTTTGGTATATTTTACATCCAATAATTAAATACGTATCACTTATATCGAAAGTCTCTGAGGACTAAAATGTAACTAATCTCATAGCATTCTGATTCAAATGTAATTTTAGTTTTTACATGCCAAATGTAACAACAGGGCACACATAAGTTAGTTTTTTAGATTTCCTATAAGGTCATTTAAGGATACTTATCTTTAGTAAGTAATAAAACTACCATTGATTGATTGATTTTAGAGAGAGGAAGAGGGGAAGAGAGAAACAGCGATTTATTATTTTATTTATTTATGCATTCATTGGATGATTCTTGTATGTTCACTGACTGTAGGTCAAACCCACAACCTTGGCATATCAAAACAATGCTCTAACCAACTGAGTTACCTGTCCAGGGCTTCTATACCTTGTAATAAGTATATAGTCCAAGAAAGGTTAAGCATAACTTTACTCAAATGTTCTTTGCTTAATAGAAACTGTTCTACATAAAACAAAGGTGACATTGAATCTTATCTATTGGTGGTAGTGAGAGTTGATGTACTTTGGTTTTAATAGAGCGCTTAAGTTCATATTTAGAGCAGTTTAAAAGTTAAATTTCTAATTCTTGTTAAAAATCCTCACCCGAGGATATTTTTATTTTTATTTTTATTTTTTTTAAATATATTTTTTATTGATTTTATACAGAGAGGAAGGGAGGGAGATAGAAAGTTAGAAACATCGATGAGAGAGAGTCATCGATCAGCTGCCTTTTGCACACCCCCTACTGGGGATATGCCCGCAACCAAGGTACATGCCCTTGACCGGAATCGAACCCGGGTCCCTTCAGTCCCCAAGCCGACGCTCTATCCATTGAGCCAAACCTGTCCCGGCCCGAGGATATTTTTAGAGTGAATGGGAGCGGGAGAGACAGAAAAACATTAATTGGTTGCTTCCCACACACACTTGAAACAGGGTCCATTATAGAGCCTGTATCTGAGGTCCAAGACCTTGACCAGAATCGAACGCAGAGCCCTTCAGTCCACAGGCTGATGCTCTATCCACTAAGCCAAACTGACTAGGACTAAAATCTTGAATTTAATCTCCCTTTAAGAATTGGAGAAATAAAACATCCTGATCTTGTTTTACAGATCAGGTCTTTTCATCGTGTCTTGTTTACTACAGGTTTGAGAATTAACTCTGTTTCATCCTTTGCCTCTTAGTGATTTCCTAGTACCGGACTACCTAAACCACGAGCAAGAAGAGGCCCTAGTTCAGTACGATCTTGGAGAACACAGTTTTGAAAGCAACCCCTCTGTTCAAATGCCTGTAATCTCACAGGTCTCCTCGACCCAGAATTGTGAAAGCACTTTTCCCTTGGGGTCTCTCGGCGGGCTGGCAGAAAAGGAAGAGGAAGTGACAGAGCCCCCCAAGACCAGTGCTTGTGCCGAGGCCACCGGAGAGGACCCCCCAAAACCAGAGCTGTCTTCGATAACTATCAAGTAATTCCATGGTTTGACTTCATTTTGGTTTTTGGAAAGTGCCTGTGCTTGGTCTTGTACATTTAAATTTAAATTTAAAAAAAAAAAAAAAGGTTTTGGGGAAGAATTTCCCTTTCTACTTTGTGAGCCCTGCAACTGATGTTTTGTTTTATTTTTCATGACTGGGAGATTGCTTCTGTAAGTACACTATAACATGGTGTAGAAATAGAATACGACTGTTGGACGTAAGGAGAACTGATTGACTTAAAACTTCTCATTTCTCCTTGCATTGCTGTCAATAGGCTAACAGCAGATCGTTAGGTAACGAAGGAATCAGGTGACTGTTGGCCTTCCTGAGATGGAAGGGCACACAGAAACCAACTACTAAAAGGAACTTGACCGATGGCCTGAATAGATGTTTACTCCTGTACACCGGACGTTGTACAGTATAAAGCCTTTTGTTTTTGGAAGTATTTATGGTAAGCTATCTTAAAAATTATTGAGGTAAATACTTTTTTTTTTTTACTTCATAGAGGAAGGAAGAGGGAAAGAGGAAGCATCAGTGGTGAGAGAGAATCATCTATCAGCTGCCTCCTGAATGCCCCACACTGGGGATGGAGCCTGCAGCCTGGGCATGTGCCCTGACCAGGAATCAAACTGTGACCTTCTGGTTCATAGGTCAGTGCTCAACCACTGAGCCCTGATGCCTGGGCCTGGTTTTGCTTTTGTTTGTTTTTTTAGCATTGTCCTTTCTGTTCTCATTTTTTGTGGTGAAAATTTGATATTGGGAATAGGCATTCCCTGAATCTTTATAGAACCAGTCCTCCAAATAATCTTATCTTTCTTCTATAAAAGAAGGCAAAAACCATGATTGAGAATAGTCCAGCTATGCATGAATGACCAGGAATGGAGACTGTAGTATGTAAATTCCAATTTCATAGGAGCTCTTTATAATACTACTTTTCTGGCTGAAGTTGTCCACCTGGTCTTCGAATGTTAATGTCTGACTAATTAGGTCACTGCCTAAATTAGTTTCCTCTTGCCCCCCCCAATACTTTCTCTTGCATATGCGGTCATGATACTATATAAAGGAAAAATATTGGAGATATTCTATATTTTATATGTAGGTTTATGTATTGTTGGGGATGTTTTTGTGCTGTTTTAGACAAAATAAAAATTATATTAAGACTACGTTCTTAACTCAGCTAAGATTGTTTACAAAAATTCCATATGGCAGTGATACGTTATCCTTGTCCCAAAATATTTTTAGACGTTGCCAAGTTTATTAAGATCAGTTAGTGTAGTTTTTGCACAATGTAAGCAATAATGTAAAAGATGAGGATAGTCTATAGAATGATGGTCTGTGACTCAAAAATCTGGGGGAAATAGTTAAGACTAAAGAAAAACAAAATCTTAAATAATATCACTTTTTTGCTGCTAACCAATGAAACTTTCTGATTTATAGTTGAATTTCTATGATACTCTAGGCTGGAGTTCACTTTTCATCTAGTGCCAGTTAAAGCGTCACTCACCTTGATCTGGAATATTCATGTTTATGAACAAGGAACTTTGAGTAACCATGTGTATACCCAAAGTTTAATAATTATGAGAGCACCTGATTAGATCAGAAAAAGGGGGAACAAAATACAGTTTCTTATTCAGCAAACCAGAAGATCTGAATTTTGTCCAGGTGCTAGACATTAATAATAAAATATATTTTTTAAGTTTTAGTGATTTGTTTTTCTTTTCTTTTTTTAATTTGCTAATTCTGTAATTTATCCCCCCACGAATGTAAAGGAAGGAAAAGTAAACTCATTGAAGTTTTTTAAGGCTAATTTTCTTTTAGTCTCTTTCCGTATTCTTCTGCCTTTAACCTGTTTCCAACTCTTAATCTCACTCGTTAATCTGTTCTTACCCCTCTGATCTCAAATGTGTGCATTACCTTCAGGAAAGGTGACGTAGGCAGGTTCTGATGGGCTCACATGCACGCTGCTTGACTAGTAGGGTGGAACAGCCCGGCTGCGTCCCACCAGGGTGAAAGGTCAGCGGTTCTTATTCTCAGTGTCAGATACTTTGGAAACAGATATGCCTGCCGGTAGGTAAATGTCAGTTAATTTTTTAATCTACATGGATAAGACAAACAGTAGGTAAAATTATGACCAGAAGTTGTTACCCTCAGTCGTAATAAGAGTTATTTTTAAAAGAAGGCAAGCAGTGGGGTTAAATCTTGTCGCTAGAGGGTGTTTTACACACCTGCCTGAGAACTCTACTTGAACAGAGCTGGCACAGCTTGGGCAGCTCTGAGGTAGACTGTGCCCTCAGCATGGGGAATCACCACCATTGGCTGTTCTTCCCCAGATGGAAACTTTAGGTTTTCATTGGCAATTCACAATTGCACAGATTTCCCATTTTTTGAAAAATTAAGAGTATAATACTGTGAAAATGCTGCATACTTAGTTACTTGTCTTCTTCCCAAATCTTAGCAATATGGTTCACTAACTAGAATTTAACATCAAACGATATAAACAAAGGCCTTCTCTCAGGGAGGCTCATGTTTTTCTTGACACACAGTTTAAGGATATTTAGCTTACCTTTTGAGGGATAATAGTACATAGTGGTAATTGGATTTATTTAAAATTCATGCAAATGAGGGATGTTTGGACATGTAATTTTTACCAGAATATATGGAAAACATTGCAAACAGATGGACGCCCGTTACGTTATCTCAGTCATTAGCAACTGTCAGTGTAATTAAACATTAAAGAGTCCAGTTTAGAATACTTAAGCATAGCTACCTTTTCCTTAAGCCCAAGAGGGTAACTGATATTTAAAGGGCTTAAATTTTAGGATACAGAATAAATTGCCTTTTTAAAACCAAGTATTTTATACAAGAGAACACATTTATTTTCCATAAATAAGCTACTGCATCGGTGTGATATAGTTTAGAAATGAGCAGAGATGTTAAGTTTTCTGTAAAGGAAAGTAAAAGGAATTTGTCACCCACAAGTATATTTAAGTGAATTTTTATTTCAAGTAATGAGTTATACATTTAGTTAGTTACATTGTCTGTTCTTAAAGTTCTTGATTTCAGTGAGACAAAGTGTACTAAAATATTTAAATGGCCTTATTCAGTCTTATATTTCAGCAGCCACTCTGACTTACAGCAATTTGGTTCCTTGTTAGGACATAAAGCCTTTTGGCTTTCAAAACAAAAAAGCTTCCATTTCGTTAAAGTATTTTACCGAAGTGGACTAGCCAGCACATCTGGTGTATTTATTATTGAGAACACTGTTACCTTCAGACTACTGAGTCAGTTTCTCCTGACGGAAACAGTTCCCTGGGAGCCTTTGAAAGCTGTATTGCTCTTTCAGTATTTTATTTCTTATTTTTTATTCTCGTACTTACCTTAATCTGAATAGAGACCAGTCATCTGCTTTAGTGGCTTTATTTTGAAGACTCTCAGATCATGTGTTCATCTCAGTTTTGTAGTCCCTGGTGGGAGGGGTGGAGGGAGAACAAACAACATTACTGTGTGGTGATGGATACTGGATAGTACATGCAGAGAATTAGTACTTAACGAATGAACCATCCCAAAATTGTAATATTTAACTGAAAAGAGTGTGAGATTTGAGGAATAGATGAAGAGAAGGAGAAACTTTCATGCAGCACTTAAGTATTTCCACTCATCTGGGAAAGGTGAGGTTATAACTGAAACATACTTACGTCCAAGTGCAGGATCACAGTTTTCTAGGTGTTAATCTTAATTGGGGAGAGGCTTCAAAGTTCGCTTTGAAAGGACCCGAAGTTGCTAAAAGGTAATGTGGTTTTCCCACCGAGTTATTGACATAAGATGCTTTATTTATAATATATTTATGTTTTGAAAGTTAATGAAAGGAGAGTATATAGCAGCCTGATTCCCCCCCCCCCCCCCCCTCTCTCTGAAGCAGTAAAACAAAATTGGGAGAATCTCCATTATAGTAAACATGTCTGTGAGGAATAGTTATAGCTGAACATAATCTTACAGGCTTTACATTAAAATCAAATGACTAAGTCCTTATTTTGCTTGGACCCAATTTTATCTTTGAGTTGTCTGACCATGTAGATAGCCCTCAGCAAGACAAATTTGCAAAAAGTAATAATGATTCAGCTTAAACAAGTGAAATTGAACCAGCTTACAGGCTCAACTAAGGAACAAACACTCTGGATATTTCATTTTTAGATAATAAGTATCTTGAGATTTATTAATAGAAAGTTAAATCTGTCAGTTTATGTTAGAAGACTCTAGGTGACATCATAGATGTACTTTTTTTATTTTTTTTACTTCATAATAAACTATACCGTTAGATGGTTTCACTATATCATAGTGATATTTTTATGATAAAGTAATAGATCCATGCGCTTATGCCTTTATGTACAGCCTCTGCACCTGAAGCCGATGTCACAGGCTCTCAGTTGGCAGTGTCTGAGCAATGAGCCCGCCTGGAAGTGTAAGTTAAGCCCCAGGCAGCTCCAACCAATGCCAGGGTTGCTGTTTACCTGATCGTTTACAAAGAAAAAAGAGTTCAGACCGCTGATAGAAGACAAAATCTAAACTCATTTTTGTAATCACTTCTTCCCCTAGGTTTTTAGGGAGAGAGGAAGGAAGAGGGATAGAGAGGAACCTTGATGAGAGAGAAACACCATTGATTAGCTATCTCTTGCACGCCCCCCACTGGGGATCAAGCCTACAACCTGGGAATAGAACCAGTGACCTCTTGGCTCCTGGGTTGACCCTCAAACCACTGAGTCACAACATTCTGGCAAAATAAATAAATGAATAAATTTTAGTTTGAAGTGCCTCTTTCTAAAATCAAATTTGTATTGCCTTTCTCTTCTCAGTTGAATAATTTTTCCTGATTAGCTTAAAGTGCTGGGCTCAATTGTGATGGTTCTTTGATAAAATTGCTGCCCGATGGCTTTTAAGGGGCTGGAACTTTTAAATTGTCCTTTCTCAAATGCCATCTAACCATATCCAGTTTTCATTATTCAGTTTTTAAAAATCTCACTGTACATGAATGTTCAGGTCACCAAACACAGTCCAGGAGCCCTCGTCTCCCCCGCTTGTTCCCTGGGCGTCAGTGGGCTTATCATTCAAAGATGGGAACAGCCGGCAGCTTCTCTGAGACACGGGTGGGTTGCAGATGGCAGATGCCAATCGATCGAGGCTCTCATGCTGAGAGGAGTCCAGCGCGTGGTTGGAAGTTGCACTGCTCTTTGTCTCGCAGGTGCCTCCTGAAGTAAGTGCCCCGGGTATTTATCTGGAAGGAGTCAGATCCTTAGACTTGATCCATTTCTTCCTTGTACAGAGTGATGGCTTCTGATGCCTCGATTTCAAGGTCTTTTCAATAAAGAACAGTCCTCCAAGGGTGGAATTTGATTTCCATCCAAGTCCCAGTAGTCGTTGGTTTTTCTGTCTTACTGGTGCTCCCGCATCAGTGGAGAGCGCTGTCTGCGGAAGGCACCCTCATGGCACCTTAGTCCGACCGGAGGATAGTG